CGGAGAGCGCCTGAAATCTTCTCATATGATTCCATAAACCGAACAAGATTAAATAACTTAAAGCGTAGTGATGTGATCAGTCAGTCTTGAGTGGATAATTACACCTGGATTATGGACAGAAAGAGGATCTGCTGTAGTGTAGGCCATAAAAACACAGTTACAACACAACAGAATACAGTAAATGGTAAACGTCAATATCTCTCTTTAGAGGATGATGTCATAGCCCGGTCTTCGTGAGGGTGGGGATCAGGGCTGTGTGGGGTGATGGAGTGAATGCCGTGGTCTCAGAGGCGGTGGCTGGGCAGGCCTTGAACCCACATGGAGGTGGAGTGAAGCCAGGCTGTCTCGCCATCTCCCTGCATGATGAAACAGGCTGCAATTCGCATATGGCTCTCTGTTCCTCGTTGCCCCTCGCCCATCAGTCTCTGTCGCCACAACAGAGAATGCGTTCGATCAAAGCCGTTAATTACAGAATTCAAGGTCTGTGGCATTAGACGTGTCTGAAGATTTGTTTGCATGTGTTCGGCAGGCGCTGTCTCAGAGAGATGCTCCGCACAGGAACTTTTTCTTCTTCGACGGCCTGAAGGGCAGCGGGGTGGTCGACTACTTCGGATCCAAATAAGTGGCCCCTGGAGAACACGGATTGAGAGATGTGTGGCGATGCATGTGTGCTCTCAAAACTCCATGGAGTTCATCTTGTGCCAGTGGCCGCAGGCATCAAAATCTGTCTTTTGGACGGTACCTTTGCGTAGCAGTATGCCACACATCAACCGATGCCAAGAGCAACGAGAACATTTTGTCCACACACACTTTAAATATTCATGTACACACGTTTTTCACCAAGGTTATGTGATTTCTACGTTTTGTATTAAAATAATAAAAAGCCCAATAGAAAATAAATTTGTTTTTGGATTTTGTTGAGCATCATCGATTTCAATAATGTCCTCTAATCTGTTGCCAAAGGTCTCTTGTGATGCTAAATTGCAAAAAATGAGGCAAACGGCTTTAAAGGGAATTTAAAATGAATGCAAAAATGTCCGATGCTCCCTCAAGCCATTTATTTCTGAAAATTAAACCACACAAATCATCCCATCCCTGTGCTGAAATGAGGCCGGGTGGATTTTCTGATGCTTGTTGTCATTCTGACATTGTAGTGAAAGCCTGAGGCGCATCTTGACGTATCTTGTCAGGTCTAGGGTTTTTTTTGGTGACGTTTGTAACGGGAAGTGCTTTTTTTAACTCAGCCCAGGTATGTCATTTACTGGACTGGTACTGCAGGGTTTATGACCCCCGAGGCAACTCATGGAACTCGTGTTTTGATTTTGATGTTTTCGTAGAAGGAAATTTTCCTGCCTGTCCAGTTAGAGCTGAAGAGGAATGCTAAAGAACGTAATGTAACATTCGATACGACTGATAGTCCAAACACCTGCTGAACCCAAAGCCTCATACAGTAATAGAACAAATCATACCGAATGTGTCACAATTGTTTGCCTTTCAGTTGAAGTGTACTATGATGTTTGAATATGTTGCGACTCTGCTGCAGACATGCAAAATCAGATCTTCGGGCCTTAAATGGATAATAAACATGTGCCTTAAATGACAACACAGCATCAGTGAGTCAGTCTGAGTCAGATGAGAAGACTGGTCAGACTGGTTGAGCAGGTGCTCAAGTGGGAGTGGCAGCAAGTCATGTAACCGCTTTTCATTTTTTAAATTCGTTGACAGTGGAAACATGGGTTACTAAGTACCACTAATAGGCCAAACTTTTTAAAGATTCTTATCATTGCAGATTTAAGCATTAGCATGGAAAAGATTTTTAACTGTACTGTGCTAATTATAACAAAACAGCTATGGTAAAGTTCACTGAAAGGCAAAACTCCCACAATAGACAGGATGTCTCTTTCAAAGTGAAGTCTGGGTATTATGTTAATCTTGATTGAAATTCAGTAGCCAAAAATAAGACATTTTATTTAAGTTGGCATGAAATGGAAATTCAGAAATTCATTCTATCTACTTTCTAAACAAATGTTGTGAATAATTCATCTAGGCATATTTAATTTTTTTACCTCTATTTTTACCTTTTAAGTTATTTCTTTTTTTCTTTTTCATTTTTGTAAATTTTTTATTTTTAAACCGATGTTTCGGTGAAATGACACACTTCTCTCTGATGACACATGCTGTACTTCTCCAAACATTTGTGACCCTGGACCACAAAACCAGTCATAAGGGTCAATTTTTTGAAATTGAGATTTATACATCATCTGAAAGCTAAATAAATAATCTTTCCATTGATGTATGGTTTGTTAGGATCGGACAATATTTGGCTGAGATACAACTATTTGAAAATCTGGAATCTGAGGGTGCAAAAAAATCTAAATACTGAAATACTATATCTACAGTAGGAAATTTACAAAATATCTTCATGGAACATGATCTTTACTTAACATCCTAATGATTTTTGGCATAAAAGAAAAATCAATAATTTTGACCCGTACAATGTATTTTTGGTTATTGCTACAAGTATACCCCAGCGACTTAAGACTGGTTTTGTGGTCCAGGGTCACATTTAGTCTGTTTAAACCCTGTCCCTTTCTTCACACTCGATTTCAGATCTGCTGCCATCCAATCAACAACGATAAATAGACCCTGAAGTACAAGCCCTGCTCTACTTTTCTTTCTTTTAGATAATCCGTTTCACTTGGATGTACTTCACAATATGGAAGAAAAGGTCCAAGACCATCTCTGAAATTATGTGTCGCTACTTCTGTTTCCTTGTGACTTCAAAATGACTAAAAAAAGTCGTAATGTAAGGCTCAAGCATATGTTAAATGGAAACCAATATCCTTGTGGTTTCCTGAAATTGTCAGCAGCTGATTTTATATTTATATGTGGTATTGTTGTTTATAGACTGATTATTGTTGATGCTTGAATCCATTTGGTCCATCTTTAGCAGTAGGTATAATTAAATTGCATTGCTAGATCAAACGCAGTGTGATGACTCACAAAATGTCTTTTCACAAGACAAATGACTAGAATTATGAACACTTAAAATTCATATTAGAATACATTCATTGGTTGTTTTAAACAAAACTAAACCGTATTTTCTTTTCAATGTCATTAAAAGCAGAAGTATTCATTTTCAATGTTACTCAAGAACAAATTCACCAAGATAACGAAGTAGAGTAATAAAGTCCAATTACTTAAGAACTTCACATCGCTGCCAATATAGTGAGAAATGAAACAACAGCCTGAGCTGTAAAGAGGCCGTGACTGATTAAGATCCACAGGAGTAATTACGGACGCTGCGTTAATCTACTCATTTTAATTAAGCAACCTTCCTCATATGGTGAAGGAAGCCCCAAGGCGAGATGTTCTTACTCCAGAACAGATGTGTTGCTCCCAGCTAGAAATGCATAAACATGTGACGGGAGAAAGAACAGCCCTCACATGATCAACAGCTCTTTTAGGAACACTCTGGTGAAGTCTGAATGGTCCTGCCTGGGGAATGTTCTGGGCATCACAATCTATCACATCTTGTTCTGATAAGACTCATGGTGTTCTCAACATGAGTACAGTCAAACAGTCCCAACACTATATCAGATGAAATATGCATAAGAGAAGGCTTGTTCTGTTTGTGTAATGCAGCCGCCTTCAGGCTGAAGATCCCTTGATGGAATATAGTATTATCATATATATCATCATATTTTTGCATATTAATAATGAACATGTTTTGATATGATGGCTACATTGCGAAGCCATTAAAATAATTGTTACCGATGATGAAGAGTCATACACTTCTAAATTATGTTTTGATTTTACTTTTAGTAAATGTTTCATTTTATTTTAATGTGGAAGGGAAATTGAAACATTTAGCTGACTTTTAGCTTTGTATTCGTTAGAATTAATATTGTATGAAAACGTGTTTCTGCCTCAGGATAGAAAGTAAATAAACAGGCAAATGTGACTTTAAAAAAAGGCAGAATGGTGAGATATAAACTCTGAATTGTGAAGAAAAAAAAGCCAGAGTTGTGAGATAAAAAGTTGCGATTACCTTTTTTTATCCCATGGAGGAAACAAGCTTCTAAAATTGTCTTTGTTGGCCCCATGTTGAAGACTTCTAATCTAATATATTATTGATGGGATCACATGGGATCACAAATAAAAATTGTGTATTTAACTTGTCAAATCCTTTTTGATTGACAAGTGTGAGGGAAATCATACAGAAAAACCCCATCCAAAACACTGTTGTAATTCTCATATTTATTGAAAATGGTAAGGAAAAAACAATACAAAATTCATATAGAAATTTGACAGAGAAAATTTCAAATGGCAAAAGTACAAAGCTGGAGAATGAGCGACATGAGTTTAGTGTAAATCTGACAGTACAAATAAGGCCTTTCTGCATCGGAGAACACAGGTATCGATGAGAAGTCACAAGGTGGCCACAGGAAAGAGACCACACAACTGTTTTACAGGAAGTCCACAGGAAAGACATCTCTGCTCCACAATATGCCATGAAAACTCTGTACCGACATTACAAAGCCGACGCAAGCAGAAATGTGAGCGGTTTAAAGAGTTTTCCCACTGACTTGCCACAGTTTTTCAAATGTGGTTTCTAAAGGAAGTGCTTGAAACCCCTAACAGTGTGATGTATCTGTAAAAATCCCAGATAGACCTGTTTCTGACACGTTGATTCATAGAGAACACGTCTGTTCAAGTATGCTGGAATTTTGGCTCAGTTTAGTCCTTTATGTAGACAAATAAATTACAGCAGAAAAAAATATGAATGGATTTATTTGACAGCTTTGAGGGGAACGTTGACAAATAAGTTACAGAGATATTTGGTTCATAAAACACAACACTAATGAATATCTCCATGCTTATTTTAATCAAAACATTTTTGTCGATAACAAATCATCAAAATAACCAAAAGTAGAAATGATGCACATACAAAATAAATTGGCTTGTGCTTCTCAGATATCTACTTGAGAATTCTATGCGCAAGGTATATTTTTATGGGGATTTTTTTTACAGGACTTTATTTCATTTAAATCTAAATAAATTGCGAATAGGCAGAAATCCACTGGATTTTAAAACAACTGCTTTCCAGTGTTGGTCCAAAAAATATTCGAAGAACAAAACAAAACAGAAACCGAAAAAAGGAACTTAATGTTAAGTACTTCAAGGTCATTTCATCAAAATATACAAACCACATCAGAAACAAAACTCCCATTCTATCCTGTCCTTTTTTTCTCAAAAATATGTACACGTGTAATTCATACAAATATTAACACTGCTCTCCAGCCATTTCAATAACTAGTGGTCTGGCTTTCCCACAAGGCTTCCAGCCTCACTCCCGTACCTCCATTGGAGGTGACCAATCTTTGAATTAAGTGGCAAATTTGTGTCCCGAAGTATAGATTCAGATACGGGGCAACAGGTTCGGTTAACCCGCACACCATCCAGTGATTGTCCCTGATGGCTTTAGTACACAAAGGGCTGAAAAACAGCGTTAGCAAGGCACGATCCAACTGTGCTCCATTAGTATAGTGCGTGAGCATTCCATTATCTCGATTATCACCCATTTTCCATTAATGGTGTGCGGGTGCGCGGCCTGCGCCACTGGTGACTGATAGTGCAGTGCAGTTATTGCTCCTGTAAGGCAGCTGAGAGGAGAACCCACGACACACAAAGCACTTCTGGGCCCGAGGCGCTACGCAGATCTAATCAATTTGTTTGCTTGAGAGCAACCCGGCTTAATGCAACTCCCTACCACTGCAGTTAAAGATGCAAAAGAGTAGGATGCAAATGCACCGAGAGCCACACTCTCCTACTGACGTCTATATCGGGACACACACTTCAGTCACTAATGCTACATGAGAATCCATGGGAAAAGATGTACAAAACAAAACAAACCAACCAAAAACACAGATAAAGAAACAAACATGACATCTGATCCTGCAGAAAAGTCCCAGAGTCTTTAAGTGGTCGGCAGGAGAGCGCCTGCACTCTTCCTGTGACGTAACCCGTCTGTTTATCTGAGGCCGTGCTGGTAAAGGGCATTGATGGTGTCGGCGACGAATGCGAAGAGCCCGTGGTACAGGCCTCTCCAGTTCTGCCAGCCTGGGACAGCATTCTGAAACAAAGATGCAAGAAGAATGAGCTCATCGTGTGTTTTATGTAATGCAAAAAGTGAAAGGGAACATAAGAGGCACAATAAAACTTGTTTTTGTGCATTGCATCTAAGCGCTCAGGGACTGTAAAACCGAACAGCTGACCTACTTAAGTTTCAGACTTCGCTCTAACTTTAGAATACTTTACAAAAAGAGTACTTGAAATAATATACTTAATTTTAATAGAATAATCTACTATTGAGTATAAACTGAATGTAATGTTTTCAGACACTAAATTGCATGTTAATCATAATTTAAAAAATCTTGATATGTAATTTCATAATTATTTCTATATTCGTTGAAATATGGTTAAAATGTACTGCCAAACATTTAAGGTAAACTAAATATACTTCAATGTCATTACTATTGAAAACTTGTATGCAATTTAAGACATTAACTTGTATGTGATATCAAATAACTCTTTACAGTTAAAATGATCAAGTGTGTTACATGTATGTTAGTCAACACATCAAAATAAGTGCACTTTTTAAAGCATAATAAAAGATTATTAAAACAATTTCAAATGTACTTTAAAAGTAAAACTTACAAAGTGCACTTTTTAAGTGTACTTAAGTGTTAAGAAACAGTCAAGTACTCACTTTAAGTACACTTAAGTGGTCTTTTATGTCATTAATATAATATCTGCTAATAGTTTTTTTTCAATTATACTTGAGATTTGAAGTAGCCTACAAGTGCATATTGAATACTGTTAAGTGCACTTCTTTTCTACAATGGTATGAAGCGAAACACTCTGGCAAAGTCGATTTAGGTCTGTGCTTCAGTTCCTTCCCTGTGTGGAAACCGAATTTCGAAACTTTGACTGTGTGTAATTAACTTTTTCCACCTCTACTATCTGTAATCAGCTATGAGGTAATAGCTTAAACTTTTTGGACCATTAGCAACGCTCACATAAAGCTGTGAAGGTTTGTTTGAGTGGGAGTGTGTGTCAAGGTTTATGTTAGCATAGACGTGTATGTGTGTGTGTGTGCACACAGACACAGGGTGGGGTGAGGCAGTCCCAGACAGACAATGTCTGCAAAGTGGAGTCAGGAGAGGCAGCACATTACTAGTCAAACAGCTGCTATGAGTCATCCGCTAAAAATAACTCCTCAGAGGGGGAGATCAAGTAAAAGAGAGGGAAAATAAGAGAGTGACAGTGAAAGAATGAGCTACACGCAGAGAAAGGTGCAAGATGGATAATATAGACACAATGTTGAAAAGGTCAGGGTTACCACACCTTTCCCGTTTATTTAGCATGTTTGTTTAAAAGATTAAATATTTAAATGTTATCAAATTCAATTAAAACAAATTAAAATCATTTGTCAATTAAGTAATTTTCCCCAAGTAATCACACAAGTAAACAGTACTTAAGAAAAAAGAATACATTTAGAACAGTGTGGTTTTCTTGTCAATATTTCTGTTTAAATCAATTTAATAACATAACAGATAAAGGCAGGCCTATCAGGCTTCATTTACACTGCACAGATCCAAAATTTTGAAACATATAAAAAAAATTTTGTGTCATCTGTTTACATCTACCTTAGACAAATCAAAAGCTTAAGATAAGTAATATTACAAAATATTTTAAAAATAATTTTCTACATAAAATATTATTATATTATTAAATAAATTATTTTAGTAACAAATTATATTTACTATAGAAACTTCCAAGACTTTTCAAAGTATATATATATATATGTATATATGTATAAAGACAACTGAGATGTAAGATTATATTATAAATTAAAATATTTTATTATATAACAAATAGTGCTGTCAAGCGATTAATCGCGATTAATCGCATCCAAAATAAAAGTTTTTGTTTGCATAATATGTGTGTGTTCTGTGTATATTTATTATGTATATATATAAATACACACACATACAGTATATATATTGAAAATATTTACATCTATATTTATATTCATATAATTTATATTATAAATAAATATATTTAATATATAAGCATAACATATTTTTCTGAAATATATACATGCATATGTGTGTATTTATATATACATCAAAATATATATATACAGTACACACATATATTATGTAAAGAAAAACTTTTATTTTGGATGCGATTAATCGTTTGACAGCACTAATAACAAATCATTTGAACAAATTATATTAATTATAGAAAATATAATTTTATAATAAATATGTTATAATAAATATTAAGTGCTTTTATAATAATATAGCTTACAAAAAGTGATATTTACCATAAAAACTCAAATTAAATTGTTTATTGTTTTTAAAGATTTAATTAATTTCCATGATAAATATACTATACAAAATAATTCATTAACAAATTCTATTGCCGACAAATTCCATGACTTTAAGATTTATTAATGTCTATGATTTTAAAATTTTGTTGAGGATCCCTGGAAGGTGAAATAGACAAAGATGAAGAAGATGGAACACAAGACTGTTTAAGAGAAAGTGCACGACTGAAGGCTACAACTACAGGGGGACCAAAGAGGACAAGGAACAGAGAGAAGTGATTGAGATGGTGGGAGGAGGATCTGTGGTTTGCCAGTCTCGTATGTTGACAGTGAAAGAGAACGGTATATGTGAGCATGCATGCTGCACACTCACACAGAGCTTTTGTTGCCCTGCTAGGGAAGTCCCTGTCATGTCATTCTTCTGCCGGCTTCAGTAAACAAAGCAGCCATCCAGTAAAAACACACTGCTATCAGAGTTCAGAGAGGCCACACGACAGGTCGCAGGCTTTCTGCACGTGACCACGCCGAAAGCTGCCTCGACGAGACATACTGGGTTTTATTACATCGCGTGTGTCGGTGCAGGTGTGTAAGCATGTGCGGGGAAACTGGGACGATTGTGTAAAAGCAATTAAATCCACATAAAAAAGTGGCGCACGCACTTAAAAATAGGTAAATAAAAGAGCGGAGAGCTGCACGCTGAGGCAAAGCGGTGACGTCATGTGTGTTTGTCTGAGGAGACGAGGGGGAGGTGGGTTTGCTTGAGGGGGGAGGGGAGATTAGCCTCTGTTTACTCCTGTTCACTTCACCGACTCGCTCCTCACGCGATACAACAGGGATCCAGAGCGCGAGAGAGAGAGGGAGGGAGGGAGGGTTATTAAGTTCAGCCACAACTGGAAACTCGATTCCAGTCACAACACTCACTACAGGCTCGTGAATATCATATTGATCCATTTACTAGAAGACCCACTGGAGGCTAGATTTGTGAACGCCCTGCCCACACTCCCTCATATTAACAAAGAGACACTGCCCGTTTACTTTATCGCACTTAATGACGCTTTGGCACAAGCTGTGGCATATTTAAACTGACGCAGCTAGACAAACATGATCCTTACCCTCTGTAGAAAAACAGCGTTCATCTCGTCTCCGTCTTTTTGAAATTTTTTTCTTCATATCACCCTAACAATTTTGGCTTAATGACTTAAAAAAAAAAAAAAAAGAGTTGTTTTTAACTAGGAAATTAAAAACATGTTCATCATAGAAGAGGTCAATTCATGCCATTTTAAGTACACATTTCATTTTAATGTTTTTTTTTCCGAAAAAAAAAAAAGATTCATATCATTGACCCATTCACTTATTCATGTTCCTCAGCACTTGTGGCTGTTTAAGCATACTGTTTGTACTTAAAGGACTAGTTGTGCAATTGATCCATTGAGAGTCGTCATTTGTTGTCGTACTATCTGGTAGTTCTGTCAAACTAGTGTCAAGGTTCATTTCGGATTACTACTTTGAGTAAAAACGCCACTGGCGCAATGTTAACAGTACTCTCATGACAAAACCGTGATATATGGGACTGTTGCACAGGTTCGGTTGAGGCCACTAGTATTTAACAACCATTTAACAGGCAGACATGCAAAGGAGTGGGTAATCTAACCAAATACAGATTCAGCAGAGATTACAATAGCGGTGAGATTTCATACACAATGGTGAGCCAAATTCTCTATTTGTACTTTAGTACGCATGTGATGTCATATGTTGAGCCACAGTGTTTGTTTTGTTTTGTTAGGTCAGTTCTATAAGCTCTATATAACATTCACATTCTATTCTCTACAGTAACGGTAGCACCAATGCCATCTGATTAACTGTATGACCGCTCATTAACTTTTATTGATTGAATGCAAACTTCAAGTCCTTATTGTTTATGTGACCGCAGGACAACAACAATAATATATATAATCTCTGAATGAGTACTGCTATTGTAACATGGGATAATGCACTGACATTTTTTACTTGTAGCTCCTTGAGACATAAAGTGTGGGCTTCCTAACTTTATTATGTGACATCTGGCATCCAACTGACCCAATTCAACACCCATGAACAGCAAATAGCTAACGTACTTTCAAATCCCAGTGCCCACCTGTCATACTTGCGCCTTTAAAGTAAACCTTCATTGTTAGTCCCTTGTGAAAAACAAGTACACTATAGCATACTTATAGTATGAAATAAAATACTTTAAAAGAATATAGTTAAGTGCGAACTGAATGCAATGTTTTCCGACACTAAATTGAATGTTTTTTTACAATTAAATGAAAATATATTATAGTTAAAATTTATATTAAATGCAATTAGTTACATTTAAGAGTGTTTTTTATTTCTTAAGTATGACTGTAGAACATTTTATATGTTATTTCACAATTACAGTTGTCTTTGAAATGTACACTGCTAAATGCACTGACAAGCATTTAAGCTGAACAAAATATACTTTATTGTCATTTCTATTAAAATCTGTATGTTGTGTATTTAAATTGATCTGTAATTACACATTTGTAGTGATGATGCAATTTACGTATTAAAACATAATGATTTAAAATGTGCTTTAAAGTTCAACATTTATTTTTTACATTACAAAGAGCACTTTTTAAAAGTGTACTTAAAACACAAGTGTGCTCTCTCTAAAGGTGCACTTGTTGTTTATTAATATTATATTACGTGGCCATCTTTTCTGCCCTTCAAAGAGAAAAAATTTGCATTCATTTTCTAATCTGCACAATAGGGATGCATGAATATAAAAATTCCGGCTAATACTAAAAAGATTATAGTTATATCTATGACCAATAACCGATAATGACCGATATTTTGACTAAATCAATTAAAAAGATTCAAAATCTATTGTTTTAAATGCAACCCGAATTTAGGTGTTGCAACATTATAATGTTCATTTTGTAATAAATATTACATTCAAAAGTGTTTTTAAATGAGTGTTTTAAAAGATTAACCATAAGTGAGAATATCATTTTCTTGCTTTCCGCGCAAGTGTGCACAGAGAAAATGCCTCCGTGTAGAGGATTAGTGTCGCAGCAGTAAGAATCTGCTGATCCTCGGCGCAGGTGACTTGAGAGAGCGGGAGTGCCGGGTTCTGGCTTGTTGCCAGGGTAACTGCAAGCCGGTGCAGCCTGAGCTGAAATCCAGCCATTGGTGGACAGGAATGAGGGGTGGGCTGGGATAGGGTGGACAGTTGGAGGACAGGGAGGGACCAGGGCCAGACTATCAGCTAGTGAGGAAAGCCTTTAAGGAGGAGTGTCAGCAGAAGTGTCAGATAAGGTTAACTGATCGCTAAAGTGAGGTTAAAAACATGAGGAAAAGAGAGTGTGAGGAGTGAGAGACACCGCGACATTCAGATGATACGCGATTCTCTGTGACAGGCCGCCATTGTGGACCGCGCAGCACTTGACAGGAAGCCAACAGCAAAGAACATGTCTAAACATGCCTCAGCGAGAGCTCTCTGACTAGGGAGGGGAGGAGGGCACTTCCTGGTGCATTTTAACCCTTGGAGTCAAAGCCAGTGATTTTGTCTTCTGAATCTCATTTAAATATATTATGCTAATGATTTCCACCAATGCACATTACATAAACACGAATCTCTATGTTGCAACACCTTACCTGTATTATCCCTGAGTGGATTATCCTGCTGCGGGACGCTGTCCGAGCTGAAGGCATCTTGTGTGGGGACTTGGGTTAGTGGTGGCAAGACAGTGCTGGTTTGTGTAGCGATGGTTCGGTGCCGGTGGCAGGGCCAGGCGTCCTGACGCAGCACCTCCATCCTGCAGCTGTTTGGTGCTCCAGGGTTGCGATCACCCGCCCTTCTTTCCATCTCTGGACGGGCCATACCAGATACTGCCTTGAAATGAGAAAAGCAAAAAAAAAAAAAAAAAGTTACAGAAAATATACATCAGTCGTATTTGCACGCCATCTGGGTTAAAAATGCAGCTGGACACAAAAGACATCATATGTTATTGCATGCAAATTGAATTTAAAGTGGACAGCAGTCAAAAAGATTTTAAAGATAAAATAAAGATGAAAATAAATTTGCACTCATAAAGACTTAATGGAATAAATAATAATAATAATAATAAATTCTTTAAAAAATTATAAAATACATTTAAATATCTGACCTAAATAATGATGAAAATAAATTGGCAATCATTTAGACGTAATGGAATAATAATAATAATAATACGAAGAAGAAGAAATCAAACTCAAAAGATGATGAAAATATATTTGCAATAATTTAGACTTAATGGAATAAATAATAAAAATAAAATTATATAATATAAAATAAATCAAAACATCAACCCCACGCAATTATGAAAATGCATTTACAATTATATAGACCTAATTGAATAGGCTACATAATAATAATAATAAGAATAATAATAAGAATAAGAATAAGAAGAAGAAGAAGAAGAAGAAGAAGAAGAAGAAGAAGAAGAAGAAGAAGAAGAAGAAGAAGAAGAAGAAGAAGAAGAAGAAGAAGAAGAAGAAGAAGATTTGACCCGTGTTAGTAATTATATTTGATGGTCATTCTTATGCCATTGTGTTTTTTATGACCGCACACATTCAACATGACTGACTTACCACTATACTGTAAAAAACAAACAAACAAATAGATAATTAAACATGCGTTATTATTTGATATTATTTGGTTAAACCGTGCAAATTGCATATGCAATAGAGAGTAAATTTGTTCTCATCCCAAAAAAATGCTATTTAATATAGCATTTCGTTTCCAGATAAAAGCGTTTCCCATCAAGTTTTTTTTTTTTTTTTTGGAAAAAAAACATTTCCCCTTTGTGATATGCTGTTTCCCCTTTTTTTCTAAGTCATGCACGAGAGGACTAATATGCAAATTTAAAAAGAAGAAGAAGAAGAAGAAGAAGAAGAAGAAGAAGAAGAAGAATATACTTACATTTCAGAAAGACAAAAAAATAAAATCAAAACATCAAGGCAATGCATTTTGTTGTGATATGCTGTTTCCCCTTTTTTTCTAAGTCATGCACGAGAGGACTAATATGCAAATTTAAAAAGTATAGACCTATTTAATCGTTAACATCAAACAGTCGCTGATCATTGATGTGCAGCGCTCATAACAAACTTGGCTAAAAGACGATTTAATTATGCTAATTGAATACGGAATTCCCCATTTCATCCCCTTTGACCTTTGTCCAGCAGCTTCCGACTGCATCCTTTGTTTAAATGCAGATGCCATGCGGACGATGGAGGGCTGTCGAGATATGGGGAGCTGTTACCCACAGCAGATGAGGCTGTCCGACAGCGCAGAGGCAGAGGGGAATCCCCACGCAGGTACATGTCTGGGCATACAGCCCCAGGCAGACTGCTCTGGGATGGCATATTTCGTGTTGTCTCAGTGTTAAATGCATAGGGGTGTTGCTCTGAAATGTATTAATTTAGAAACGTTGATACTGTTTATTGTGATCATATAAAATTAATATAAATAAAACAATTTAGTAGGCTTACAAATTTACTTTTATGTTTCATTTTAAATAATAATATAACAACAATATTGTTATATATTATTATATAATATTGTGTTAGCAATAGTATATATCAATCAATCAACCTTACTGGCCACTTATGCATAACATACAAGGAATTTTCTGCCGGTATGAGGCATCCCACACATTAAAAAAACACTTAACAAGAGAGAACAACAAAAATTACATGGTAGAATTTAGAGTCTTTATGGCTACTGGAAAAAAGCTATTCTGAAATCTGGTAGTTTCTTAACCCCTGACAAGTGCAAATCTTGAAGGGAAGGTAAATCAGTCCCAATAATGCATTCTACCATTCTCACTACTCTCTGAAGCCTAAACTTATCCTGCTGAGTAGCAGAACTGTACCAAACAGTAAATGAAGAACACAGGACCGATTCAATCATATACATATCCTACAAATGTATTATATATTATATTTTTATATAAAAAACAAAATAATTGCAAAAACTGCAAAATAATACTTATATTAATATTATAATGAATATAATTCTATTAATAATAAAAATAATAATTAAATGTATTATTATATATTATATTATTACATTTTAGATAGATAAAATAAATTTAAATTAATACGTCCACAAGATGGCAGAAACTACAGCCTCGTGCTCACGGATGTGTTTGTAAACAAATCCGTGCACGCGATGTCACGCACCGCTTCTCCCGCGCTTTAACTCGATCTCACACGCTACCGTGAGTCTCTCTAACACTTAATGCATTTTAAAAGCTTCATTCCACTGGAATGCATATTACATTTTCATTATTACGACACTGACTATGATTTTATCGATTTTTCTCAATTGGCAGCAAGGGCTGATGTGGAAATTTTGAAGCGTAGGAAAAGTGGCACGAACAAACGCTCAGCCGGCGACTTGTTGAGTGATGCAAGGTTAAAGATTTGAAGAGGTGGAAGATTTTGGAAACTGACAGTTCTTTGTCATACAGCATAGTTTACATGCTTGTTTCATTGTTATCTTTAAATAACCAGCTGTCATACTACAAAGTTGCGTGTTGAGCAGAAATAATTTCTTCCAACATAAGCTGGTAGTTGCGTTTTGCAGCACAGTAGCTGGTTTTTAGCTGGTCTAAGCTGTTTATTTGTTGGTTGGCCAGCTACCAGGTTCCAAACCCAGCTTGACTGACCACCTGGCTGCTGGTCGAGCAGCTTGCACCTGAAGCCCAGACCAGCCAGGAACCAACTGTACTCCAAAACACAGCTACCATCTTCAACTGGAGTTTTCAGCAGGGAGGAAAACGTCAAACCCCCCTTTTTTTCACTAACTGTAAAAAGTGGTAACATACTGTTGACTAAACGACATGTTTCTACTTGATCTAACCCTAAAATTACTTTTATTCGTGTGACCTAATGCAGTCTGGCTGATTCTGTAAATAATATTTTTGATCAATAATAAGCAGTAATGTGCCACATCTACTGTCTTCAATATAAGTAATCTTACATTGATGCCTGCAAATAACAAAGAGATGCATGCTCAACAAGAATAAAAACACATTTATGCTTACCTTCAAAATGGGTTGTAAGTCAGTAGATGTTATTCCAGGTTGTAATGCTGACACCAGATATGTGTCGCGCTTTAAAAACACTTCGTTAGATGTCCGTTCATGTTATTCCACAACTGGAGGAAAGAAAAACTGTGTCAATTTTGTCAGATCGGCAGTTAGGTGTGCTTGTGAAGATGAAGCTGTAGGTTTATGATGACAGCAAGTTGCTTTCACTCCCGCGAAGTGCACGCATAAAAGGCCACGCCCCTTCGCCCGTCTCACAACAAGTCCTGACATGCTAGACTCACACGCACACACACACAGCCAAGACAGCACAGGAACCAACAGCCCTTTACGCCCACTGTTGTTTGTCGATTCACAATCCGAGTGGCTTCAGCGTAGATCCTGTCGATGCTTATCGGTTTCTAGGTTTACAAAGTACTTTATTGGGATCGCAGTTTTGCATACAATAGCCTACTGTTTACTGCATTAATATAAGAAAATGAAATAAATAAATTGTGTGACGGCATTAATTTTTGATTCAAAACAAAACAGAATCTGCCTCAAATTCAGAAAGGCAACAAGTGTAGGCCTATGTTCATTGTGGAAATACAGTGCACACCTGCTACATTAATACATAAATAAAAAATAATTTAGTTGTCTTAAAAATGTATTTTTAATATAAAAATAGACTACAGCAAAATAATAACATTATATTAATAATTACAATTATTATTATTAATATTATAATAGCATTATTATATAATTACCAATAGTGTGTGTGTGTGTGTGAGAGATTTTTAAATAAAATTTATTTTGTATTTAAAAGAAAATGCTGGAATTATTGTTATTATTATTACTAGGAATATGCATGGTATAGCGTTTTTACTTCTGTTTTTTTTTTTTACCCTGAGGTCAGGCCAGCACATACAGTACGTAAACAGTGACATAAACATGAACAACTGTCAGAAAGCTCAATGGTCAAACAAGTAACATGTTTGTTCACATCTCATCTGTGGTGACGTTTTAGCACAATAACACAAAAGGCAGTATCTTGACTGTAAATAAATAACTTTTCCCTTTGCTCCAGTGTCAGCTGCAAACAATACATTCATCTACCAATAACTTCACTACTTAGAGATATAGATTGCCTTTTGTGCGCGAAGGGATCCATGCGCATGTTTCTGTGTGACTGCAACGGCTTCATCCGTTACCAAAACACAACATCCACGTGTGTGTGAGTGTGATGACATGAGAGCGAGGCTCAAGTATACTGTGTCCCGGTGACATCATCCTTTACTTCACCTCCTCCTCCTTCCTTCGTTCTCCACTGTGTTCATGATATCTGATAAACCTGTCCCGGCCGGGCACTGCTCGTCCCTCCCAGAACATATATTTCACATATTAGTTTTCATTGTTGTTACCTTAATTGCCTGATAAACAGTCTCTGTTAGTGGCGCAGGGCCACAGCTGGCACCCTTCAAGGTAATGGAAGGGTGCTGAGTGACAGATCCCAGAAAATGATCTGCAGGTCCCGAAGGCTGACAAACAACAAGACTGGGGTTCCATTTAGATCCCATTTGAAATGTACTTGTCGATTGTAGTCATAGTGTTATTTTGTGCATCAAGCTCCATGATTGTGGCAGAAGGGTTCATTTTCATGTCAAGGGGAAAGAGCAGGAAAAACATTATGCATATATACTTCCTGATTATCATTTTAGTCATGACTGAAACCACTTTGTAATTGATTACATGAAAGTCATAAGGATCCAAATCGTCTGTACTGACAGCAACAATGATTACAAATCAAGCAAAAAATGGTCACGCAAGTTTATTGTTTATGTTTTTACATAAATATTCTTAATAAAGAAACAGAAGTGAGAGAACATTCAATTGAAACCCAGTTTCAGTCACATTTATGTTTACATAAAGGATAGTAAAAAAAGGAAAGGAACTAACAGAGAACACCATGTTTTGTTTACCACAGTGAGAATGTTTCACTTGTAACCACATTAAGCTGTTGTTACTAGTGCTGGTTATAGTGTGCCTACTTCACATGCAGTGAAATCTACAAGATCATGATTAATTGTGTATTAGAATTATTCACATCACCCATTAAATTATGTCGGTCACACTTTATTTTAAGATCCAATTCTTGCTATTAACAAACCATTAACTACAACTTTTGCCTCAATGAACTACTAATTTGCTGCTTATTAATAGTTAGTAAGGTAGTTGTTAAGTTTAGGTATTGGGTAGGATTGGGGATGTAGAATATGGCCATGCAGAATATGTGCTTAATAAGTACTAATAAAGAGTATAATATGCCATCCCGACATATACCATCCCAATATGTTAAAAGCAACTAGTTAATAGGATTCTTTGATGAATAGAAAGTTAAAAAGAAGAGCATTTATTTAAAATAGAAATCTTTTCTAACAATATACACTATTGTTCAAAAGTTTGTGGTCAGTAAATTTTTTTTTTAATTAAAACTTTTATTCAGCAAGAATGTGTTAAATTGATAAGAAGTGATAGTGAAGATTTGTATTGTTAGAAAAGATTTATATATTTAATAAATGCTGTTCTTTATAACTTTTTATTCATCAAAAAATCCTGAAAAAAGTATCGCAGTTTCCAAAAAAATATTTGGCAGCACAACTGTTGCCAACATTGATAATTCTAATAATAAATCAGCATATTAGAATGATTTCTGAAGGATCATGTGACACTGAAGACTGGAGTAATGGCTGATGGAAATTCAGCTCTCAGCTTTTGCATCACAGAAATCAATTATATTTTAAAGGATATTAAAATAGAAACCATTATTTTATATTGTAATAACATTTTGCAAGATTACTGTTTTTTTCTGTATTTTTGATCAAATAAATGCAGCCTTGATGAGCATAAGAGACTTCTTTAAAAAACATTACAAGTTTTACTGATCCCAAACCTTTGAGCGGTAGTGTATATATATGTGTGTGTGTGTTAATTAAACTTAATGATTTTAGACTTTTTGGGGTAATTATACATCTAATCATCATCTATTAGTGGATAAAATGGCAATTTCATCATCTAATATTCACAGGTGTGACATTCATCGCTTTCTCCTTGAGGAAAGGTAGTGCAAGACAAAAAGCTCATTGTGGAAGTGATGGTTAATTGCTCTGGATGGGAAAGGCTATAGTGATGTCAGAGTTGCTGAAGGCATTACCTCATCTCCATCATCAAGGATCATTTCACACATGGTTGCAAGCCGAGGCAGATGGAGAGCAGTATTAATGGGTTTGGTGGATTGTGGAGGGCTGTTAAGGCCAGCTGTTGCTACCATGACCCCATGTGACACCCACAGTCCCCAAACAATGGCTTGTTGGTGTAGGTATTTTTAACACAAGGTGAAGGAATGTTAGACTCAAATCATGTTTATGCATTGTGGAGTTTCCCACTGCAGGGTTCCTTTCTGCTGACTAGGCAGGAGTTGCGTTTGTTGGCATATCAATTTCACGGTCATTTGTTTTGTGGAAAGTCAGACATCACATATTAGATGTTGATAAAATCAAGCTTTTATCTACTAACAGAGTATAATCAGTTTTGACCGGTCAAAAGTTTGGAATAATTACGATTTTTTTTTAAAGAAGTTTCTTATGCTTACCAATTGTGCATTTATTTGATCAAAAATACAGTAAAAACAGCAATATTATGAAACAATATTACAATTAAAAATAACTGTTTTAATATATTTTAAAATGTAATTTATTCCTGTGATGCAAAGCTGAATTTCTCCAGTCTTCAGCGTCACATGATCCTTCAGAAATCTGCTGATTCAGTGTAAAGTAAAATTATTATCAAACATTATTATTACGATTATTATCAGTGTCAAAATGTTCTGCTGCTCAAACTGTGATATACTTCCAGTCAAAAATTTGGGGTAAGATATTATTATTAGATTTTATCCTTAAAGCAATTGAATGCTTTAAATTGATGAACAGTGACAGTAATATATATATATATATAATGTATTTATTTTTTAAATAATATATATTATTTAATAAATATTTTTACTGTCACTGTTGATTAGTTTAAAGCCTGCTGGAAAAATGTATCATGGTTTTAAGCTACAAAAACTCTTCACTATTGAAAACAAGAACCACTATTAATAATAATTGATAATAATTTAGCACCAAATAAGGATCATGTGATAGAAATGAATAAAATACATTGTAAAATATATAGATAGAAAACAGTTGTTCAAAATTTTAATAATATTTCACAGTGTTATTGTTTTTACTGTATTTTTCATTAAATAAATGCAGCCTTGAGCATGAGACTTCTTTAAAAAAAACATTTAAAAATCGTAATTACTCCAGTCTTTTGACCATTAAAAGTATTTAAAACCATTCAGCTTCATTAGCAGTAGTAAAGGTTACGCAGTGCACACAGCTGCACGCATTTCTTCTTGTAATTTATATAACCTCGGTCACTTAATGTAACAGACAATATGACTCACTGTCCCTCGTGAGGCCATGCTGAAAGCTGTGCACCTTCTCTTCATCTCCCATGGGCTCTCTTGTTGCTAATTGTTGGAGTGTCACAACAATTAGGTCATTGCTGAGTTTGTGTTTACAAAACCTAGAACCTGACACCACTTGATTCACTGCTAGGCCAAGACATCAGACAGCGGGTCAGCGCTAGCTTGTTTATCTGAGGAACGGGCAGAGGATCACCCCCTTCATCATCGAGCAAGCTTGTGTTTAAAGTGCAGAAAGTGATGCCATCCCTCTTACATCACCTGCTGTGAGTGATGTAGCCCTGGCTGGATCAAGTTGCTCACCCTTATCAAATGATACACTGGTCTTGCTCTGTGTTTACTTGGTTACGCTGAATGTTGTTGTTGGATGCTGTTTGTTTGTGTGCATAAATTGAGTGATTTTGTGAGGGATATTTACTTTTATAGTTTATATCTACTGAATTAAAATCTTTGAAATCATCACAAATCATTTGAGAATTAAGACCTAAGATTTTTAGCTTTGTTCAAGACAATTAAACGGATAGCTCAGCCAAAAACCAAAATTCTGTCATTAATTACTCACCCTCATGTCGTTCCAAACCCGTAAGACCTTCGTTTATCTTCAGAACACAAATTAAGATATTTTTGATGAAATCCGAGACCTTTCTAACCCTGCAGAGACAGCAACGCATCTACCACGTTCGAGTCCC